ACCAGAGTGAACCATTAATTTCCATTAACCATCGACAAAACTCGCCCATCGATACCGCCGGGTACTGACAACTCCAGAGAAGTCACGGGGATGGGAAACAGAAGCTAAATGGCGCGCGTATGTGTGAGAATACACACGTACACGTTCGAGTATGCATATATAAACCTTGACTCGTGTGGGGACTTTTGCCTTTGTCGCGTATTTTTATCCAGCACGTATAAACCAATAATTCCCCGGCAAAAACTGCTCCTACGGGAAACGGCGGGAATATGAGTACGGGTGGAGTGGAGGTGGGGGGAGGGGGAGGGGGGAGGAGGGCCACAGTCACCCTTTCGCGCTGACTTCTCGTTTGTATTTGCTCCATTCAATATTGCGAATTATTGCACGGTGCCGAACTATCGCAGCGATTGTCGTACGTGCCGTTGATTGACGTGTACAAAAGCTGAAAAGGTGTTCGAGTGAAAAATTCGATATTTTTTGAGGGTAAATATATGCGAGCGTCGACGATACTTGCGCAACGCTATAATTATACGCAAATTTTTGTAACATTTCCCGCAATTGGATTTTCCGGCAAAAGATATAAATTTTCGTGGTAATTTTAAGTTTGCTAACAACGGCAAGATAATAGAACTTATTTCCATCTGTATATTTTTGAAATATGATCGACGCGATCCGTAGTTTAAATAATTTAAATATATTTATAATAATAATAATAACTATTATTATTATTATTATATTTCTAATATATTTTTCACTCGTCCCTTTATTTGCGAATAATGAAATTTCAAATCTCTTCGTTCAAATTTTTGGTTCAATTAACGGTTTTCTGACATTTTGTAGATAAATAGATACAGCTTCTCATAACGCCGATACCATAAACTGACATCCCTATAGAGAATTATAGACATATCTACTAAAACTTACAATTAATGTGTGTTACAACCGTTACAGACGGAAGTTTGCTAGTCCGTCGTCCTCTTTCTACTTGTACCCTTTGCGAATCCCTATAATCTACTACGCGAAACTAGTTCGAAACTTGGCGAATGCAGAATCACTACTAATATATCTTCGCGATGCAAACTTATTTGTCGACCATCCGAGCTCCCTTAGCTGTCCCGATATTTTAATAAAGATCATATTTATAATCTTTCTCAAAATCCCAAAATAAATTCTGTTTGAAGAATATTGCCATCAAAAGATGAAATATTAAGAATCAATTTTATGTTTGAAGGAGAACCTGAGTTACTATCAATAATTGAACGATTGTTGTAAAACATTCAACAATACTTAGAAATACACGATAAAATAGTTATTAAATTTTTTTTACTTATATTTCAAATAAAGTGATTAATAAATATGGATGGCAAGGCTACGAAAGATTAGACTAAAGTTGTGCTTCATTATAAGATAATATTGTTATAATTAATAATTAACATTGTCACGATTTTAAGTAAATTAATCTGATAAATCTGACATATATACGAAATATTTCCTAATCTTCTTTTATATACGTGTGATATGTGCTTATTGAAAAAATCTCTCGAAGTATTATTTTGTTTGCATCAGTTAATACAATATAAAATTCTGAAAAAATACGAAATGCCAAACAAACATTATTATGAGAAAACTCGAATAAAAACTTCATATTTCAAGAATATCAATATATTATTCGTTGTAATTTTTATTTTGCTTTTCTTGCATTTTTCATTACTATTATAATGCAGTGTAAATACACCCAAAAAATTTTAATTTAATTAGATATGCATTAACTTTTTCACAAATAACATTATTAATATTTATAATATTAATATCTTCCGAGTGGTTTCCCCAATTTCATTACTAAAAAATCTTGCCTATACAAAGAGTGCTTGGTAAAAAGTGTAAATTTCAAATGGCATGTCGTATTGATACATTCCAGAATTAAATACTATTAAATTACTAATCGTTCTTTGCCTGTCCATTTTCCATGTTCCAAAGCAATAGATCTATAAAACGTTATTACCACATAATATTCTATGCTATTAATTTTACATATATTTTTTCGCGTTCACATCCGATATAATTCTCATAGATCCATTGCTTCAAACTAAAATAAAATCCAATTTTTTACGCACCGGCACGATGCGCAGCGGCGGAATTGAACTGTGTTGAACCATGTTGATCTGCAAATACAAATAAATTCAAGTTATCGCAATGCTTAATATTTCAAAAGATAATCATTGTGCGCGTATAGAGCAATTAATTTCATTGACGTGCAAATATAGATAAATATTGTTAAATGATACAGACGATGATAGATAAATGAACGTTAAATACACATAAATTATTCACCTCAGGATTGCTCCGCCGTCGCCCGACGTCGCTCCCCAAGATCTCCTCTCGCTCAGCTGCCTCTCCTTGTCGCTGCTCCGTCTGTTCCTTCGCGGCACTCACACGACGCTCACTCCCGAAACAAGGTTAATTACGATCGCGCGCGTGTTAATCACTAGGACTATCGCGCGGCGGCACTTTGCAAAGCATTTCGTCGCGGCGGAGAGACTATAATCCGAAAGACGTTCCGACAATTTTCTTAAATAACATCCAACTTTTTACGCACTGGCACGATGCGCAGCGGCGGAATTGAACCGTGTTTGAAGTTTGAACCACGCCGATCTGAAAATACAAATAAATTCAAGTTATTCGCAACGCCTAATAATTCAAAAGATAATTGCTGATCCGCTCGATATACGCGACACGTGCGATTTTTTGCAAATTAAAACGTTCGGACGCGTCCAAAATGGCGGAGGGAGCGCACAGGGTACGCGCGGCCAATTTCACATGCCACGCTCGCCGGCCCCGCCGCCGTTGGCGTCGCGTCGCCCGGCCGCCCGGGCGACGCGACGCAACGCAACGCAACGCGGGGCAATCTGCATCTGTTGCTCTTAGCAGCGCCTTGAATCACGAATATATGCTAGCGTTTCTAGATCCGCGATTATTACACCGCATTACGAGATAAGTGAACAAATATACGAGTACGGGCAAATATATACGGGTTAAAATTAAAGATAAATATTCGCGGCATGCAATATCCCGGAAATATGACCGTCGCTTTGCCCGAGCGCGTTTCAACGCGATGAATTTCGATCGAAATAAATCTCGGCAGTCCGCGCGCGCGCGCGTTTCATAACAAATCACCGCGCCGTGAGGACGAATTTATGCCTCGAAGTTGACAAATATTAAAAGACGGGAGTCAATTACGATGTGTATTTACCATTCGAACGCATCACGACCTCCCCCCCCCCCCGCGATTTGGCCCATCGATCCTTCCCGTATCCGCGACGCTTTGTCAATGGCCAAAATGGACGTATCGATAAACCGCCATTGGCAAACTTCGCCTCGACCGCCTCGACGCCGCACGGCTCCGAGACGTATCAATATCTAATTAAGACGCAACGAACCGACGAAGATTGTGCATAACCGAAATTCAACTACTGCATGCGCGAACCCCGAAATACGCGTACAATTAAACAGTCGAGATATCTAATTAGTTGCAACCGAATCCGTTCAAAACGCAGTCGCCCGTAGAAGACATCGCGAAGACGCGATATATAATTCCTCTATCATTTCTCGATTCCATATACTTTAAAGAGAGTAAACGAGATACCTGCTTCGATACCCGCTTGCGAGGATTCGTGGGAATATGGTCTCAGGACAGCTAATCGCTAATTGCGAGGAAATAATGCGGCTCCGCGCGCGCGCGAGCGCGGTCCCCGTGCTCCCGCCTGACTCGCCTCGGCCGCGGCCCGACGAGCAATGCGACGCCTGCGACACACAGCGTAACCGCCTTGCCCCCCCCCCGCGAGCTTGACCGCTCCGCGCGAGCGAACGTAAACAAGGTCGCGCGTGCCGTAATAACAAACGGCCAGCGGCGCCAGCGATCAGTCCCAAAAAACAGAATATCCCAAATACGAAATATTATTCCGTAGTTGCGCCAAATAATTCCGTCTCATACAGTTCCCGTCTGATTTTGATAAACGAGCTCTTGTCGTGCATTAAATCTGAATCAAAGTTTACCTTCCCTTCAATAAAAAAAGAATCAAATATTTTGATATTTATGCAATATAATATATATATACATATATATGTATATTCGTTATGACTTTTCTAAATTTTTGATAAAAATGAGATTTTTTAATAAATGAAGAAATAAATCGTTGCACTTTCTTCGCGACAATTTAACTTTTCGTTTTCTTTATGAGATTGTAATATTAACAATTTTACTAATTTATTGTAAAACAATAAAAATTTAATACAACCACTAAAACATTATGTGGCGCTTACATAACAGCTAAAAAGATAATACATAAGCATGAACTTACCTTTTTTCGAAGTATATTTTTTGTTTCTCGCTAATTTATGCTATTGAGCAAGTCTCTTAAGTAAAAAAAAAAAGAATATTTTCGTTATTGCATGTATATATCTTAAAAAACAAGATTTAAATTTTGCAATATGAAAAAATAAAAGAATTATCATAAAAAGGATAGAATATTCCGAAAACGAAGACAAGCTTACAGTATGTTGAAAGCTATTTATCAGTGATTGCTCATAACATTGCGTATAAATCCAAACAACTAATATTAGTTCTGCAAAAAATATAATTACCATTTCATACGAATGTCAATCAAAGACTGAATAATCAAGGATCGCGCAGATTCGACAATCCGTCATTTATCGACGCATCTGCGCTACTAGCTGCGCACGGCGTGGGGTCGACGGGCTTTTGGTATTTGTGCGACGTATCTATCACGATGTAGTGTCCCTAGAGGAACGCTGTATCATCATCACCGGGGAAAGGGTTGAAGGGAGCTTATTACTTTACGAGACTCTGACACGAGCGCACGTGTACTTACGCTATGCACAATGCGCCGTGCACAGCTCGTGCGTCGTGCTCGGAGGAGCTTGTCGCGACAACGTTGGAATTAACGGGACAAGGACGGTGCAGAGCTTTCTCCTCCTTTTTGTTTTTTCTTAAATAAAAATATAATGGATTTTATTGTGAATGTATTTAAGTTATCTTACATTTCTCTTAAGCTCGACAGCTCGATGATATTTACAATGTTTCCTTAATTAGCCTATTATATTACAAATAAATATCTCTGTTCATGCATACACACCACGGTCATCTCCCTCCGATAAAACCGGAGGCTACACGACTCTCGGAAAACATTAAAAAAAAGACCTATTCTCTCTCTCTTTCTCTCTCTCTCTCTCTCACTCTCTCTCTCTCACGGAAAATTTGCTGTTTGTTTTAACATTGTGCCGTTAAAAGCGCAGAATTCTCTAGGAAATGATAAATTACAAATGATGTCGACATCGAGTACGCACATTATACACACATGTACGGGCGAGGCTATCGATAAACGTACCCCCTGTTGAAGGGAATTTAATTTCTAGATTATTAATCTGCATTATATTCCGAATGGCACGGCGCGCAGGATAATAGAGAAATATCGATAATTGCATGAATGGGACACGTTTGATTAAATGCCGTGACTTTCTCATATGGATTTTATAATAACTCATAAACCAGACGATTGGTTACATTTAATTATTTACGACATGGACCATAATGTAACAAACATGCCGTAAAAGTTTTCAGTCGGTCGACGCTTACCGTTGCAAAAACGAATCTTTTCGGGTAAAAATCATACATGCGCTTTACATTTCGCCGGCCATTTCGGTTAATTCTAGAAATATTTTAACATTTGAAACAGTATGCCTCCCCTCAAAATATCTCCAACATATAAATAAACTTTATATTTCAATAAAATTTATCTAAACAGAGAATACAACATACAAATTCAATGACGGTACAGTATGCCTGGCGACAAACACCGAAAATCGATTCGACGTGAAAATATGGTTTCTCTCACACACACGCATGCACATATATACTCACACACACACACACTTTCTCAACGCCTTTTTTTACAGTCACTCTTTCCATCTACTTAATAATTAAGACACGACAATGCAAGTGCTAATACTATCATTTGTGCAGCGAGTACAATCGCGATCGTGCGCGTGTGTCTTTTATAGGTAACACGTACAACACTACATCAGATCTCAGAAAAATATAGACTCATTCGTATCCGGCTCTAGCTAGGATTTCGTCTGACACGTTGAATTTGTACAAAACCGGCACACCCCGAACGGAACATGTTAAATGTACCGCAAATGGCCCGCAACGTGGCCTCTTACACAAGCCCCGCGAATTCCATTTGTTTCATTCGTATAAACAGCATTTCGTAAATATTTCGTTCGCGCGTACTATTTACGAGTACCATTTACGGTTGTTAAACGAGATTTTTGTATCGAAGAGCGAATTTTTTTTCTACTGCCGCGATTTTATTTCAGTTATTTTCAATTGCATAAAATTTTCCGTGATTCTATGCATTCTGATGAGAATGAATTTTAAAATCACTTTTTTTATTATTTTTAAAGCCACATTATGACGACGAAATTAAAAAGTGCTCTTTAAACTTTCGGATCTCGCTCATTTCGCAAATATTGAAAGTACGTGGCCTCCGATATAGCGCGACAAGTGTTCGTATAATCCGCGTGGAGGGAAAATTAGTTTGACATACCTAGCTCGAAGCTTCGTTACCTATCGGCTCGCCGTTATTTCGAGGACGAGTTAGTTATACACCGATCCTCTTTCTCTCTCCCTCTCGAAAACTTCCATTTTGAACGAGTCGCGATCAACGCGCGTCAATTTCAAATGTCTCTTTAACTTTCGGCGAAGTGACATGTGCTTGTCGAATCGACGACGCGGTGATCCCTTCTCTCTCTCTCTCTCTCGTACGCGCGCGCGCGAAGGAACGCACGGCGTGATTTTATCCCGCCATTCTCTGATCGAGCAGAAATTCTTTGCTCTCAAACGACTCGACTCTTCACGCCGAGCTTCCATTCTCTCTAACGCCATTCTCGCGAACCAATAGATCGCGATTATTCGATGAAATTGATTTCACGGCGACGATAGTTCGTTCGTTCCGCACGAGTGCCCTTTTTCGAAATCGAGGCGAAAACGTGCCGGGAAGAAGACACGTTTGCCCCCTTCTCACTCGACATCATGAATGTCTTACCTTTGCCGACTTTTTCTCCGACTTCATCCAAACGCCCACGTGTTTCTCGAGGATCGGATACTACCTCGCGTATACTCGCGTTCAGAACAGCACGCGCGCGACCGTTCCGAAGGATCTCGCCGGTTAATAAGGAGTATTTTTTTTTCTTCATTTCTCATCTCGCGACAAAACCGCGCAAAAAAATCGAGTCAGTCTTGCGTGGCGGTATCGTACGGACTAGCGGATCGCATTCAACGATCGACTGAAAAGACTCTCCGGTTTATCATGTCGTGATCGGCTTTATCGCGTTCGATTCGCGATATCTCTCCGTAACGTGCGTGGGAGAAAGCCGTCCTGAAAATCCTCTTCTGCGATCCCGCTCTTCCTCTTCCATCCGCTCTTTCATAACGTGTATTTCTGAAGTATCCTCACCCTTTCCCCCCTCCCACCACCATTCATCGTCCCTTCGGCTCTTAATATCGATCTCTCATTGTTGCTCGCTTCCGTAATCGTGATTATTGCAATTTCTCACATCATCTTGCAAATGAAAAATATTATATTCTCTTTGGAGAATGAAACGCCGTACCTCTCCTCTTCTCTCGCCCTCCCCTATCTCCCCTTTTGCCCTGATTTCGCTCTCCTTTCCTCTTCTTTGATCACTTCGGCCACTCCTTCGGCCCCTCCGCAAAAACTCTTCAAAAATAAGGAACATATTCTCTCTGAAGCAAAGCACGATAAAAGCCGAATAGGCTACCTCCTGTTCTAGGAGCGCCCTCCCCTTCTCTCATCTCCCCATTCTTCCTCCTCGAATTCCCATTCTCTGTGTATATCCCACCCTCTCTCTCATTTCCCTATTTTTCTATCTTTAGAAGATAAAAAATGATCTTGGCCGAGACCAATTACGTGAAGTACCTCATAAGGAGAATAAGCGTCATTGGCATAATGGCAGACAGATTCAGCGTCGAGGTACCACTGTGTTCGTTGCAATCCTTGTAGGACGCGCAATGCGTCTGTAACAAACAAGACAAACAATTCGCCCTTCCTTTAATTCGGCCGGCTTTATTATCGTTCTTACTACTTGCTGAGATGATCATTTATAAGATGGTCATTCGTTAATTTCTTTTCTTTTCTTCGGCTCCGTAATTTATTTCCAAAATTAGAAATAACATGAATATTAACTACTCGATAAATAATTTATTAATTATAATTACTTAATTGCATAATAATTAACTTACTTCAATTTATTACAGATTAAATCATCAGAAAGATTCAATGTACGTGTCTGTTATATATTATACGAGAAAATAACTTACTTTTTTGTTTCCATCAAAATATTTATATGTGTCATTAAAATATCAAAAACTAACAAGTTAAAATGTATGATAACTTACCTTAAAATTTTATCCAAAAAAAAGAAATACATTCCAAATTCGTTAAAAAATGTAAAAATGAATTCCATATTTGTCAAATATAGTTAAAACGAATGATCAAACAATCAATATGAAATCAAAATATTTTCGAATTCGCCGTACGCAATATTGCGTATAGTAATTAAAATCAATTATAAACGGAGCAATTAATGCGAGTCTTCAGCGTGTACTTTCGAGGTCAATGAAACATGATGTCAAGTGAAACATGTAATTACTCACCTTTAGCAGCGAGCTTGACATTCTGTCGAGGAAGTCCTTCGTGAATCGCGCTGTATCATCGCCACACTGACGGCGCACCGTATGATGAGAGCATTCCAAGTACTCCTGGAAGGCGCTGCACAAACAGTACAAAGTCCCTTTTGAAACGCCCAAATGGAACGAAACAAACGATTATCGGCTTTATCGCTAAAGCGCTAATGAGCGCAACAAATCGAATTGGAGGACACACCACGTAAAATAATTAGCTCTAAAATTTGTCATGAAACTGACCAGAAAACTGTCATAAAATTTAAGTTCTTTCGTTGTCCTTCTAAAATATTGTCTTACTAAAAATTATATGAAATTCGCAACTTCGCACAGAATAAAATTCCCGTTTCCTATTTTCGCGACGTGCCCCCAGCTTTTGTAAGGAAACTTTTTCTCCCTCCGAAGGAGAGCGGCCTGTAATGATATAATTGGATCACCGCGGAGAAACAAAATGACGCGTGGAATGTGTTTTTGCGGACCTGTTATCCAGTTTCGGGTCAGCATCATACTACTTACGTCCCCCTTTCGCGAGGGATGCGCAAGTTCAAAAGCTGCAGTAGACCGTGGTAGAGATACGCTAATGACATTACACCCCTGTGTGTCTGTACAGGCATCAGCGTGAAACTTCCGACCTAAAGGACTGATTACACTCTTTTTGCACGAGTCCTTTGAGCAACGCCCGTCGTTATTAATGCAGTTGTTTCACCGGCGAGCTCTTAAGTGTTAAATTATCGTAGTCGAGGGGATGCGAAATGCCAGAATTTCGAGTATTGCTTAAACCTATTTGTCCGCGTTCCTCGTACTTTGCCTCGCTCCGACGACCTTTCATGTCATAATCGTAACTCGATTTTTCCTTGGATTTCAACATCGACTCGGAGAAAAAGGGCTGATCAATCCTCGAGAGATGAGACTCGAGAGCGGATGCGCATTGACAATTTAGTATTATTATACATGATGCTTCTCCTTCGTGTTTTATTTCGATTCGATTTTCGTAAAATATTAACGTGGCTACAGATCGATTCTTTTAAAAAATTTGTTATAAAATCCAGCACAATGTTTAACGGAACGTGATTCAGTCTACGATTTAATAAAATTATGGTCAAATGAATTGATAATACAGCGAATTATTTTATTATCCAGTTATTTCTTTTATAAACAAATACGTAAAATAAATTTGTTCCATCCATTTAAATAAATTATTGAATTAACGCATTTAAAGCACATTTTCTTTCTTTTCATAAAACAAATTTTATATTATACTACTCCATTTTATTCTCACGCGGAAAAGTTACTAATCCGCAGGCGCGTTCAGATAAAACAGTTGAGGATCTACATTTTGAAAAGTGGCTAGGTCAAATTGACTCGCGCTTTGAGTTCTAAGGTTTACCTCCGCGTTGCCAAACTAACAAACTTTCTCGGATAAGCAAATGGACCGTGAGTTGCATCCTATTTGCAAAGATGTAGAAATTCCGGTCAAGCGTATGTAGATATAGGTTTAATACGATGTAAATTTTATAACATAATATTAATCATTTTACGACATAATAAAGTCAGTTTATCCGAAGAAAAATTATGCCACCGTGTTATTTTTTTGCTAAGCATCACAATTATCTCCGGATTATATGTCGTTAATAAAATTAATAGCAAATGCCACGACAATCATTTTTATTCTACGCTTACTTTCCACTCATGAATCGTTCATGTACATATTCTAAAATCTAAAAAGACTTTTGTTCTACTCACCAGCAAAGGGACTTGAGGCTTTGCTGTCCCAACGAACGGTTGGCCATTATCTCTTGAGTCGTTTTCTGATATGATTTGTAACACATTTCGTATTCGGCCTTGGATCTTTGCATGCATGGCGCGTGCTTCAAGAATTCTGCGAACAGAAAATTGCATTCCCGCTATTGAACAATTGTATTCGTAGGAAAATTGGTATCAATAATAAAATTTCGAGATCAATCAGGCTGACTTGACAAACCGGGAAATATATAAATATATGTATTAATTCTCTACAACATAAATCATTTATGACAATATAATAATTGAAATCGACAGACGCACGAGTTGCTTTAGAGAACAGATAATTAAATTGTTTCGCAGGTTGAAAGTTAATGTTGCTTAAAATTCAACCGAATCTCCTCTCTCATTCACGATTCCATTCCTAGAAAAACAACTCAAGCTATTTACTGGCAGCCTATAATTACAAGAGTATACATAGATTGACTGACGCACTAGTCTCGTCGTGTTTTGAGATCATACAAGTAGTTTTGAATGAGGACCGCTTTCCCGCGGCTCTTGTTTACGATAGGCGTACCGTACATTACGCGACTGGTGCACAGCATGCGGCATGAGGAATCGATATTACTCTCCTTGCTAACGATTCATTATGTTACAGTGCCTCTCTCTAACGGAGCAGAGTACATTATGAAGAGTCATGCCGGCTCGATCGACCCGCGGACAATCTACGCGATATTCCCGTAATCTCGAGAGTGCCGGATGCATTATTGAGTCTAGTGCTATCTCCGACTGGAGACCGACAGTTTGGAATTGCATTGATGCCTGCCGCTTGCCCAATTGCCAAACGAGTTGCTACAGCTTTGTCGACTGGCGGATGACTTTGCACATCGTTATTTCGACTACGGTAAGAATCTACCGTAGATTTGTAAACAATGGGATTTATTTTCAACAAAGTTTTATCCCCGAAAATAATGGTCAAATCCCAAATTATACAATATCGCATATTTAACAGAAAAGTCAGCTGCCTAACTTTTTCCCGTGAAATGCGACGAGTGTCTCTAACTTATTGATTCCTCAACTTTCCGCACTTCTCTTTAATTTCGTATTCGTTTCCCTTCTCCATTTAAATTCAAAAATATCTGCTAGTATTTTAAATGCATAAAATATAAAAGTGCGCTTAGAGCTGACGAAAAATTTCTATAATCTTTTATCCTCTGCCCCGCAAGCCAGTTTCGTAATATTTGAAATAATTTTTCTCTCTTATGTAGATAATCTTTTGATAATTACGATTGTATATTGAAGACGCAAAATGTCTAATCGGTTCGATGATTGAGGTAAGAACACTTACCGTCCTGGTACGGGCCGTCTTGGCAAAGCTCCATGATGGCCATGTTGGTACCGGTGTAGAGAGAGTTGAAGTGCTCCCGTTGCTTCTGCTGCATGCAATTTAAAGTGTACTGTTTGATGCATTTCATACCTGCCTCGAGATCCCTGTAACAAAAAACGGAAAAAACGTTCGTTATTTAAGCAATCGCTGTTTCGGAATTAATGAAAAAAAAAATAAAAGTTTATCAATATATATTAATATAGGAACTACGTATGCGCGTATAAAATTGCGAATATCCCAAATATATCCATTCGCAAAATTAGAGTTGCTATATTATCGAACCGACAGAAATAGCTTCATCAAATTGCGAAATTGTTATCGAAATGTTTACTATTCAATTGAATGGATCACATTGCAAAAAAGGCAACTAACATAATATAGAAAATATCCGAATCTCAAATCCTTTCCTCAAATCGCATGCGGATTAAAGAATATGCAACCTTTTCCAATTTAATTAAATGAGATTCAAAGACAATACATATACATATATGCACGATTCCCTATCAAGAGTCAATGGAGCAAGCGAGAAACAGGGGCGTGTCTCAAACAAGCCTCCTCAGTTGAATCGCGATTATAAATATGATGTCACGAATATCAAATTGACTTTCAAGATCCATCTATCGAACCGTGTCACTTCTCCGTTTCCAGCTGAATTGCTCGGCACAAACGCGACGGGCCAATGTCATGCAATATCTTGGATATAAAGCCGCATATTGAAACACTGAAACCAGATCGATATTTGCGCAACGTGTAGAAATTTTCCAACTGTTTCAACACGCCGGGGTAACTAATAGAAGTATACATGCGTACAACGTACGTTTCTGCAATCCTATCTTTAAAATTTATTGCGTTAAAGCGTCTGATTCTGCACAATCACCGTCGCAATCAAAGAACAAACGTAGAAAAAGTATCGTAGCGCGATACTGCGCAACACAGTGATAGTCGCAATTTTGATAGTACTAGTAGCTTTGCCATTACACTGCACGGAAAGAAACGCGCGCGCGTGCACGTTGTGAAGCATCGTGATTAATAATTTGTCATATTGGGCTATGAGCCGTTGGGGCACGCGCGGGAATACACGGAAACCGGGCCTGAATGAAATTTAAAGTTCCATGAAATGAGCCGAATTTCCTCTCTCGGCCGGGCGCGCTATCGCCGACACGGCTAAATTGCAGCCGTAATAAGATTCTTCGTCGAATACTGGGGGGGGAGGGGCTGGAAATATCGCGCGAAATATCCGGTAGCTTGCATGCAATCATCCACTCAATTACATACGTACCGCGCCGACTCGGCGGCGCGGCGCGAGAGAGATTCGAGCGATCGAGCATCGCCGAATTGTGATAAGCCAAAGAGAGAGAGAGAGAGAGAGAGAGAGAGAGAGAGAGAGAGAGAGAGAGAGAGAGAAAGAGAGCAGGGACCTCGATACGATCGCGAATTCGGACGGATATAATAGACTATAAGGCCAGAGAAACGTCGGATATTATTCTCGGATCAATCAATTTCCAATTTTGCGAGAAATCGAAGAATCATCCTCGGGATGTCGCTGGAGTTTACATCACCAACCGATTTTTTAACGATTCTTTTAAACGCAAAGATTAAATATTTTGTGAGGCGCCGCGTCGGGATTAACGCGAGTACGAAATTTTTACGGAAATGAGAAAAATTTTTTCTAATGATTATAAAATCGCCAAATGCGGTGTAAACACTTCTTTACTATATCTCATCTTTTTTCCTCCCTCTGACGTCACAATTAGTGCGATTAAGCTCCGTAGAGAGTTCCGCGACAGCGCGCCTTCCCGCACGTTTTCTTAATAAAATTGATATGAAGTGCGAGAACAGGGAAAAACGACCGGGCATTTTTCTCATCCGGGCGAAAAATCTCCCGTGGCACGGAAGAAGAAAGGCGGAAGAGGAAGAAGAGGAGGTGGTAGACCGTCACGAAATTCTCCCCGAAACGGAACGTCAGCGTAACCCGCACCGACGTCTTCCCCTCATGGAACATGTAAAGACGGCGAATAACAACGGACGTTTTCCGCTTAAAGAGATAGCCCGTGCGCAGGTATAGAGAGAAAGGAAAACTCACGGGCATAGTTTCTCGATATCCTCCTTTTTCGTGACGAAACTCAGGTCGCTGTTGCTGATTCTCTCGAGGGGCCTGGCACACGTTTGCAGCTCCTCGTGTCCGCACTTTTCACCTCGGCAGCTAGCGAGCACTGAAACAGAAACGCGATAATCAGGTTAGCTAACAGAGAGAATAAGAGAGAGAGAGAGAGAGAGAGCGAGACGTCGGTCGCGAAACGTAAGAGGCAACAGGGACTCGATACGTCGGCCCCATCGATAACAACGTTATTAGTAAGGGAATCGCAAAGAGCAGCGCTGTTTCTCGAATTCGATTAAGCGCGCGACGAGCACGCGGAATCGATGTTGCCGCTGCGGCGTGATTGCAGCGGAAATATCAAACAAGTTTAATTGACGTGGAAACAATGCAGATTGCACCTAGAACTTCATACTCGGACGGATCCCCAATATTCTCTCATTTCGATGGAATTGTCGTATCGCAAAATAGCGTCGTCCGTCCAGCGTTATACTTATATAAGACTTTATTATATCACACACATCATATTTAAAAAATAATCCCATTACTCTGTTGTTTAATAAATTTTTACTATATAGAAATTAAAATCTCAATAAAACAACAAATTTCACTTCGATTTAATTTAAAAAAGAGAGAGAGAAAATATATTACGCGTATTTTTCTCCTAGTTTTAATTCGCTGAAACCACCAAGCTTCCATATTTTTCAACCGTTTGCTCGTATCTCTATCAACCCGTCCCTCTTCTTCATCTTTCATCTTTTACCTGTCTATCATCTGTTATAAAATGGTTCCGAGCCAAGTTGTTAGAATCTTTTGTGTCTGAATTTCGAAAATGAAATTACGGCGACGGCAGCAACGGCGGCGGTGGTAGCGGCGGCGAAACGGGCACACACATAAGACGCGCTCGCGCGTTGCTCGCGCGTACGTGTGAGTATCGGTGGTCACACGCGAATTCGGGATGCAGGATAAAAAACACAGGAAATGCATTCGCCGTCTGGACTAATGATGACGAATGGCGCGCGATATTATCACGGCGTCATGTGCCGTTGGCGAAAAACCATTCGTTCATATTAGGAAGTTGATTTGGATTTAATGGGGGGAGCATCGTTTGCCAGTTTAGCCCGCGCTTTCGTCGTGTGTGCTTTTCATTCCAACTTTTGGGAATTCATTACCAATTACGCCGTATGCACGGTTCATGCAAATGTTATATATACACGTACATACATTTACTCGGCGCGGATGCCTAAGGAAACCTCGCTTTAATTTTAATACAGAGAAGGTAGTTTTGTATGCAAATTTAAAGTCGATTTATCTCTTGCAAACCAAAAATTTCAAGAGAAGTTTGCGCCTCAAATTTTTGAACACGCATCCAACATTAAAGGTCTTAATAATAAAGACTTGAATTGAAATACAAAAGAAATTTTCTGAATCCATGTATACAAGGGAATGACTTTTGTTCCTTTAATTGCACTCTAGAATGTCGATGCATCTCGAAAATTACCGATGCCTCGTGATTTTAATTAAGAAAAGGTCGACTCTAAATTGATCAAAGAATCCGTTACTAAATTAAAATCAAGGCTGCCGGGACACTCTGTACAAACACTCTACGAGCGGGGAAGTATAGGAAGGAGGAACTTTCGTATCCGGCTTTTAAAGGGGAGGGTGCGAATCACCGGACATTCTTCGCGAAATTATTAAGCACTTTCAAGAGAGGCTTTACACTTGCCTCGTAATAAACGAGCTATTGGAAAGAAAGGGGTAAGGTAGGAACGGGGTCAAGATCGACTTTTCTCTCGATACCACCAAATGAACTTATAACTTCCGCTCAAAACCGATTACCCGGAAGTGCCACTTTCCAGGTAATAAAAGAGAACCGACACACAGTAGAACCGCTGCTGCTCTCCGTCTCCCTGTGCAACACCTGCAACATTTCTTCCCCTTCTCCGCCTTTCTTTCCCTTCATCTCTCATCCCCGTGTATGTTTGCTCTAATATAGAGTTTCTGTATACACGCGATTGCGGTGCTAATGGAAAGTAACGTCACATCTCGCCGCCATGATGAAAAAGTGAAATAAATGGGTGTTACATTTAAAGTCCGAAATGGAAATGCTCGAACGTCCGCTTTGTCGATACGACTTACAAATTATTCGAAATATCAAATGTTTTATGCAGGAGATCTTATCTTAATTCAAGACATCGGCGCGAGATGAAACGAAGCGATATCCGTATAATAATATCAGAAAAGGAGAATATGCGAATTAACAATTTAAGACTGATTTCTGTACAAGAGAGGGACCATCTTTGTGAAACTTGTATAGCTAACTTTTCCACACTTTCAGTTACTTTCTAGACTACTGAATTGACGCTTTTAGAGATCACTGCTTTCAATATCTCGAAATGGATTACTCGCTCACGTAATGCGTATATATCGAGTAATCTTTGCAATCTATACGTCGTATTTGTAAACATAGTATGCACTCAGATAAACATTGCAAATTAATGTTTGTAGTTGCTGTTGATGCTACATCGTTACCAACAAGACCTGAGATCGTTAAAACATACGACGATAAATATCATCCTCGTCCTATTTGAAGAGAAGAATCGTATATTCCTGTAGTATTTAAGTTTAACCGTTAACAATAGATAAAGTCTCGGAGAGAAAGAACGATTGTCGTCGAGGAGAAAACTGACTCGATTAAAAATTTTATTCGCCAAATTCTCAGTGAGCAACATTGCCGAGTAGGGATATACGTATGAAATACAACGTTATCTCGCGAAATACTTGCGCAAAATATTTGCGCAATAAACAATATAAATAAATATATAAATTTTCAACTGGGACGAATCGTCCCGCGTCAGAGACTCGAAGGAATTGAAGAAAACACGCGAGGTTTCTTTCTCAATACCTTCGGAGTCTAACGGGACAATGCGTCCCGGTTGAAGATTTATATATTTATTTATTGTTTCGCGTACATAAACTGCAAGTTTCTTTACCGAGTAAACTCACTTGCCGGGGCGGGAGAACTGCGTTTTCCCCCCGTTGGGACAAGGCGCGAATCCTATACGGGGGAGGAAAGAGGGCATAACGGCCGTATATAGCGGCTGTGTGTGCGCGTTGTGTATCATTACGCATCGATTTGGCGATGCGTGCGACAAACTACGCGAGTAAATCCCTCGTGCGGCGCGCCGACGACCGACGTCATTAAATTTAATTACAAACTATCGAAATTATTGGAGAGAGCTCGTCGCGGACCGACTACCGCGATAACGACCGAACGATTCGGCGAGCCGCCCGCGAAACTGGCCGCGGCCTACTCTATATAGCGGCGCAATTGTTTTGTAAACCGAATGCAACAATGGGACGACGGGCGCCGTCTGCCCGTGATAAATCTGTCCTTCGATGATTAAACAAATAGCTCCGTTTCCAACGCGATTTACCCGAACGATTTATGCAGTCGTCGATTGGAATAACACAACGGATATTCGATACTCTCTTCTTGAAATGTCTGTCGATATTACAAACACTTTTATTTCCATTAGAGATATACGAGATTATAAATCACACGAAAGCATCTGCACTTTTGATAAAAATAATAAAATCTTTCAATTAAAAAAAAATGGGCTACGATAATTACAATAATTACTATAACTTATTAATAATTGTCTTAGCAACGGATAAACGAATAAAAATATAAATATCCTTTCCCCGAGATGGTGATCCCTCCATATATCGTAACCTATTTTCTCATCTCCGATCACATTTCGTTCTCGAACTCCTCTACTTGCTGTCTCCGCTCGGCTAAGATATCACTCGTGAGAAGAGTATCGGGCTTACGGCAGAGGACAGAAGAATTCCGTGTGTAATTCTATTCGGCGCCAGTGATTCTCCAGCGGGACGAATCGTTTTATTATTCAGAATTACACAAATCATGCCAATTCCAATTTTAATCGTGTCTAATAACGATTTCGATTAGTAATCGACTCGTATTTCGCGATAATTACGATCGTAATTAATTCTGTGTAATTAACATTTTTAACACATTCTCCACAACTTTGTACTACTCTTTAATTCGATTCCTATCCCATAATTAGTCACGTGGATGTCGTTACGCGAGGATATTAATCGCGGATCTCCGTTGCCGTTTCGCGCTACGCGTCATAGACGCTGCTTCGGAAATTCACGATCTTATACAAGTCTCCGATTTAATTTCAATTAATGGACAACCGATTTTACATTAGCAATTCTATTGTTGAGAAAGAACCTTTTCATGTTTATGACTTTATATTCTTTTCAGTACAATGACCTTCGCTCTTTTTTCGCGAAGCCGGCAAAGCATTCATTCGCTATAGGAATTCCGCTGTGTCGATTTTGTAAAAAAAAATCGATCTTTTCCAATTTTTTGGTAAATCAGTGGTTAAATGTGAATATCCGTGTACATATTGGCTCATAATGCCCGCACGCAGGCATACACGCATGCACGTATGTACGCGGCTGCAGCAGGAAGAGGTTGGTTAGGGCTCGTATTTATAACGAGGCGAGATGGGACCATCGTACGATGCCGGTACAACCAATCGCGAGCCAACCCGTAGGTTGGCCTTGCCACGACTGCTAAACGCGCGTGCGAATACAACGCGTGGTGCCACTCGCTCGCTCACGCATGTGCACGCGAATGTCAAATCGAGACGGATCGCACGCTCGTACGATGTGTTTTATCTACGTTTACGCAAAAACCTCGCCATGTCGAAAAATTTCCATTTGGAACTCTCGCGAGAAATCAATTTCCATTTCGAAACCTTTTCCTCCAAAAAGAAAATGATGAAAGAGGCGAACTTTAAAAGCGTTATCGTAAAAAATTCTCATAATCTTCCACAAAAAGTCATTTCTAATCCGCGGAGTTAGTAAAGCAAAAACTTTTTTGTCTTAACAAATCTTTCTAAAGTAGAGTGTACTCGTGTACTTATCGGCTTAAGTTTTTGAGATGTGGGCACAGATGAAAATTCACTGCATTAATTGTGGTTCGGGTTCTGGCCTCTGTTTATATACCTATGAATATATTTGCATAAAGATTTGCAAACCAAAATCGTGAAATCAATGGTACCATTGGCTTGTTAACAAGTC